GCCTTGGGGCTGCCCCTCAGGGCCCCACAGCACAGGGCTCAGGGCCTCACGGGACAGGGCCATCCGGGGTCATGCTGTCCAGTCCTCGGCGTCTGTGCTCCCAGCCATCGCACAGCCCAGCGAGGAAGGTCAGCCAGACCCTGCCCTACTGGGGGCAGGTGGACGCTCGGGCGTTCCGGGGCGCTTCCCTGGGGAGGAGACACCAAATGAGCAGTTAACCAGACCAGGGCGTAGGGCTGCCCAGGTAGCCAAGCGGCATGTGCAAAGACCCAGGGTGGGGAACTGAGGGGAGAAGACAGCTGTGGCGGGAGAGGGTCAACCAGAGGACACGACCAGATTGTAGTGAAAATCTCAGACTGTAGTGAAAATCTCAGGCGGGCTCGGGGGCTCAGCCTGTCATCCGCGCCTTTGGGAGCCCGCGGGCTCGAGACCCGCCTGGGCAACTTGGCGAGACCTCATCTCTACAATAAATCAAAAATCAGCCGGGCGTGGTAGAGTGAGACTCCAACTCAAAAAAAAACCAAAACATCTTCTGTGCGCGTGGGACATCCACGACTGCTTTGGATGTATGGAGTGACAGGGGCACTGCGAGAAGGAAGGCGGCTTGGGGTGGTGTCGAGGGCTGGTGGGCCAGGGGCGCCTGGGGACTCCAAGCGACTGGAGTCCTGGGTGATGCTGGAGGCAGCACGCTTGAGGGGGCGGTCAGGGTGACCGCCGAGGGGGATGCTGAGGGTTTAGGGTCCTTCCCACAACCACCTCCCAGCCCCCGTCTGAGGGACCGTCACCTGGGTGGGTTGCGCTGCCACAGTGCAGGGAGACCTCTGCCCCCATTTCCACAGCCTGTCAGGCTGTTTTGGGTACATATTCCTCCCCAGGGAGGCCTGGAAGCCAGGAACAGGGCAGTCCTTCCCAGAACCCTGGCTGGGGTGAGGACATGCCCCCAGAAGGAACTCCAAGTGGCTGCAGATGAGAACCCCCAGCAGGCTCAAGTTCACTCCCATGGTGCCCTCTGGTTGACACAGCGCCCAAGGCTGGAATTCTGAGCTCTGCATCCACCACGCAGGGTCCACTCCCCTGGGGTGCCCACAGCCCTGTCCCCAACATTACACACTGGTCACTTCACCCAGAGCTGGGGCCTGCCATGACCATTCTCCTGTTATCCACCGCACCCCATCATGGGTTCAAGCCGCCTCCACTCCTCCCCTGGAATCATTCCCACCCTTTTCACTGTTGATCAGGCTGGTCTCTGGTTCCCCGCCTCAAACAATCCTGCCCTGGTCTTTCAAAGTGCTGGGATGACAGGGGTGAGAAACTGCCCCCAGTTCAGAGACTTTGGATTCCCTCATCTCAGGACCTTGGGTGGCTCCCTGCCTGTCCCCACCCCATGCTCAGTCTCCTTGGGGCCTCTGTCCTCCTCCAAGTCTAGGCCTCCCACTGGAGGCCACCCCAACGGGGCCGCACTCATCTCACTCTAACCCTTCAGAATTAAGCCAGGTAGCCAGTGCCCCTGGCACACAGGTGCATGACACACCAGCCAATCACGGGTTGCTGTCCCCAGGCCTGGGGAAGGAAAAGAAGACCATCTCCTGAGGGTCCTGCATTGGCGGGCAGAGGACCCAAGGCCCAGGAGCTACACACAACAGGGCCAGAACAGCAGCCTGTCCTCAGCCCCAATGTGGGCACACCCAAGGACCCAGTAACAGCAGCACAGGACCCTCTGGCCCCTGCCACAAGCCCCACACACATGCCAACAAGACAGCGGCTGGCCCAATCACAGAACAGGTCCCAAGAAGCCAAGTGGTAGCCCAGGCTTTCTAGGGCGTGACGACACTACCAGGATCCCTGCAGGGAATACCCCCACCCTGAGATAAGCTCAGGTCCTGCCTCTCCCCACGACCCCAGATGCTCCTCCAAACCCGTGTCCCGCCGTTCCTGTTCCGGAAGGTCTCCTGGCTGCCCCCAGGAGCCCCCACAGTTCTCTGGAGTCAGACGCTGCTCCCACCTGCGGGCAGCGGCCTTGCGGCCTGCAGCAGAGGCACCAGGCAACACTCGAGAGCTACGTAAAAAGGCTTTATTTGCAGGGAGCAGGGGTTCAGTCGAACAAGCCAAACCCCATGTCGTCGTCTGACTCTTCGGACTCCTCCTTCTTCTCGTCTTTCTTCTCCTCTGCTGTGGAAAAGGGGGGGCATTGTGAGCGCTGCCCAGAGGGCCAGGCCAGACTCTGGGCAGAGCCGCCAGTCTGAGCCCCAGCCCAGGCCCACCCACCAGGACACCACTTACCCTTACCTGCAGCCGGGGCAGAGCCAGCAGCCGGAGCCGCGGAGCCCGGGGCAGCAGAGACGGCCACGGCACCACCGCCGGCGGGCACACTGGCAAGCTTGCCAATACCTAGAGAGCACAGACAAGATTAGAGCAGGTGAAAACCTGGAAGACGCCCAGTAAGCCTAGACCGCAGCAGGGCTCCTGTCAGAGTCCCCGTTCTCCCAGAACACGGGCACCACTCCCACCCAGGTGCTTTAAAAGGCAGGCTTGACTTTGCCACCCCAGCCAGAGCAAGGGTTTGGCCCCAGATCCTGAGCTGAACTGCAACCACCTTGCCCAACTCAGGGACCGGACCCTGTGATATTCACTGTCAGGGATGCCTCATGCTCTACCCTAGCCCACCAGGTTTTTCTACCCAGGAGCCTGCTTCTAGGAACTCAGCCCACAGTGTCCCCCACCAGAGTTGAGTCTGTCATGTTTTGCACTAATAAATGTGCCTGCTGCTTTGTGTTCGGCTCTTTGGCCACAGAGCTCATGGGCCAGGCTGCCTGCTGAGCTGGCTTTGCCCTGGTCACATGCACAGGGACAGGACGGCTGCCCCAGCAGCTCCACTTCCAAACAAGCCTCCCCCAGCTCCAGCCTGATGTCAACAGAAAACCACCTGCCAAACCAAGGAGGCAGGAGCCTGTGGCCCATCTTGGCACCCTTAGTCCCGCCCCCAGTCCCTTCACATAAGGCATGTGGTGATAACTGTTTATCTGACCCAAATTCTCCAGACACCAATCTTCAGAGAAAGCCCGGGGAAAGGCCCCCGCGGGGTAGCCAGGCTTAGGAGGACCCACCTCGGGTCCAGCGAGGACACAGGGCTCCCCTGCCACCCCTCCTGGGCGTGTCCAGAAGCTCCCACTGGACGAAGCCCACTGGAGTCCTGCTCACTCAGAGTGGGGCTTCTAGGCTGCTCTAGTCCACAAGCGAAACCTGGCAGGCCACGGCAGGGCCGGCAGGGATTAGAATGGACCCCGAAAACGCCAAGTGCCTCCGAATAAACTCACCCTGGGCAATGACGTCCTCGATATTCTTTCCGTTCAGCTCGCCAATGACCTGGAGAAGACAACCCCAACCCGCGGTTACCAGAGCCGGGCACGTGCATCCCCGCCCTCAGCGGTGGCCTCGCGGGTCCAGGCAGGGCCGCAGAAGGCACTGGGAAACGCCCCAAGCCGAGACCCGCGCCCTGCAGCCCTCAGCCACGCAGGGGCCTGCTGGTGGGAGGCAGCTCGATGCCTGTGCCGGGAGGCCTTTGCTCTTCCAAGTGGCTCGGGAGAAACGAAGAGACGCGACCGCCTCGGCCTCGT